CAATGTTGTTTAGCAGAGATTGTTTTAAAATTTTTTACATGGCATTCCAAAGTCTTCAAATGGAAAGAATCAAATAAAGGAAGCAAATAATCTCACCTTTTAATCAAAGGAGTCTTTGGGCTCTATAATGCAAACTGTGGCCTGTTTAAAACACAACAGCTACCAATTAAACAAACTGTGGGCACCCTGAATGTAAGCCCTGAGAGGCCTTGGAATCTGCATTTTAGTGTGCTCCACAGGTATTATTTTGCATACTGAAATTTAAGAACAACTGGCCCAGAATATTCTAGTTTGCTATAGAAATGTGAGAAAATGTTCCACAAACACTACATTATGTTCCTCATGTAATCTTAAAGATGGAAATAAATAGAATCAGGATATTTGTTGTCAGGGTGTGTGTGTGTGTGTGTGTGTGTGTGTGTGTTTAAAGGAGTGAAAGATAAGCAAATAGTTCAAGGGGAAAGCATGCATGATAAGGATCTAAAGAAATTAGTTAAACATGTCCTCCAAAGGGAGATAAATACTGTGGGACCTACACATTTTCACAAGTTGGATTAAGCCTGTTCTATAGTGTCACATAATTACAATTTTGTGAGAGAAAGATTACTTTGCTGGGAAATCAAAGTAAAACAGCTTCCAAAATATCATATGTCTTTTCCCACAGACATAACACACAAAAAATGATTTAGGCAAATTCACCCAATGGACACTGTTTATTACAACATACTTTCAGTAAAGCCTCTCTGGACTAGATCAGCTCGTGGCAGCTTGAAATGGAATGCCCAAACATTGGAACAGCTGCTCTATAAGTAAAATATCTTGTTACATTTTCGTTAACCAACCAACTATTCAGGATGTCTTGTCAGTTGTTGCACAAATATCCAAAGTCCTGTAAAACTAATCAAAATCTACTAAAATCTAATGAATAGGAATGTATACTTCTCCAAAGATGGTTCACTTTTGGCCACAAAACCCTTCCCAACATGTTTTGCTCAGGTTTGCAGATTGATCAGCCATTCATTCATTCATTCATTCATTCATTCACTTATTTGTTTATTTTACCTTGGGCTACAGCTAGCCCCTGTGATGGCCTTTCCTGTCCCTGGGTCCTGGAGGCCTATCAGGCCTCAGTGGCATCTGATTCCTTCCACATCAAATGGTCTCATCAGCCAATTCCACATCCAAAAGATTTAGGTAGCTCTCCGAGAAGGCCCTGGAAAGATGTATGACCACCCAGGTAACCAATCTATTCCTGAGCTTCACTGAGAAAAAGACTCTGAATGCACAGACCATTCGTCAAGCAAGATCTAGTCCCTTCTTTTCTAACTTTTGAAGTAATTTTAATCTAATGCAGAAATTATTTTTAGTTTGTTGTATAGAAATTATTCTACATATTGTTGACAGTATTACAGATCCCCATTTGCCCCCCTTAATCCCCTCTACCCAGCCCTTACCTGCCCCCTCCTGCCCCTCAGCCTTCACCACACTATTGTCTGTGTCCATGGGCTATGCATGTAAGTATATAAGTTGCAGAAATTCTTGATAAGGACTCTGTGGACAAGCTTCACTGATTGCATAAAATTGTTGAGACTGTGTGTGCAGATTTTCTGCATCAATATGTATATGCATTTCTCTAAGCATCTAAGGAGATTGTTGACAGTTTCCTACAGTTTTTCCAAAGGGTCTGTGACACTAAAGTTATTACATTCACATCTAAAGGTTAACTGTATAGAGTTGGGTTAGAATCTACCCCTTCTGTTTATTGACTTACTTTATAATTTGAGCATCCACTTCTTTGTGTCATGTGTACTGTCCACATACTGAGAAAAAAAAGTAAGCTGCTTGCCTTCTGTATCAGTCAGGAACTGGCTTTGCCTGCTAATAACACAGACCCAGTCACAGCGGCTTAAACACATTAGAGATTTTTTTCTTTCTTGTAAAAGATACCTTGGAAAGGAAATTCAGACTCTTTACACAGCCAACAAGACGCCATTAGAGACACAGGCTACTTCCATCTTTCGGCTCTTACAGCCTCAGCACCTACTTGCACTTTGCAATGACAAGAGAGCTGCCATCTATCTGGGTTTTTTTTTAAGGAAACAGATTTACCTTGCATCCTATTGACCAGAACTTCGCAGCAAGGGAGGTTGAGAAATAAAAGCTTTCGATGGCAACTTACCTCTCTCCCACCCCAAAAATCAAGTTTGTGTTACTAAGGGGCAAAGGGAAAACCAGTTCAGCAGGCAACTAGCAGTCTTCTCTTTTTATAAAAACAGATGAATGGAGTTCTCTTCTACTTACGGGTCTGTCAGAAGTTCTTTGTAGCACCGGGTCTTTAAAGAAAGCAGAAGCACGTCTCTGTGAAATAAATGACTCTGCATATTTGTGAATCTTTCTCTGTTGGTCGCCCTGCCTCTTGGTCACTCTCACCCACGTACATGCACGCACGTACAGGCACGTGCAACACTGCCAAGGCATTTGAACCTAATGAGAGAACTGCTGATAGGACCGCAGCGTGGCGTCCACGCTCACCTGTCCCAAGCCCACCTCCACGCGGCAGCCAGCCTGCTGCCACACACCACTGAGTGAAGAAGGGGACTCCCTGCCCACCCACCGCTCTGTTTCTCGGTATTTTCAACCAGTGAGCAAAGAACCTGTCTCTGCCATTGTAGAATTCCTTTGCTTTTCTCCCCAGGCCCCGGCTGCACTCAGCCCTTCCTTGGATCTCTCCACCTGCTCCTTTCTGGTGAGTTCAATTCATTTTATTCAAGCCCAGTTCAGCCTGTTTGTAAGGTGGGGTAGGACCCCAAACTCTGGATGTCTTTCCATATTCTGCCTCACTTGCTATGATTTACATGGTGGACCAGATGGACTGCTTTCCTGTCTTTTGCAAGAAAACACCCAGAACTCCATTTGTCTTTCTTCCCCTTGAAGGATGCTGATTTATTACCCAGAATGAGTTCTCAAGATGACATCAGCCAGTCCAGGGAGAGAGGTGCATGTGTGCTCCAGTGGTCAGATGGGATAGGAGTGTTCTAGGGCCAAATATTTCTGAGTCCTTCTGCTCACCAAGACCCTGTTTCCTCATAAGTAAAATGCAGTAATCCTATCTGCTTCAAACATGGAGAGATGAAGTTCTTTCACCAGAAGGTAGTATTTTCCATGAGATTTCACCCTCATGACTCCTTCAGCAGCAAAAGAGCATCCCCATTTTAGTGCAGGCTCGCTGCTGTGGTGTTTGCACTACAGAGTTCTACCTCGAGTGCCTGGAAGTTAGAGGGGCTTTGGGTCCTGCAGGAGGAACTGGGGGAGAGGCCAGGCTCCCGTCTACTGGTTAAAGGAGAGACACTTCCAACCTCCGTGGATGGTCTCTCACATCCTCTCAGCCAAGAAGCTGATGGCTGCAGGATGAGCCCTGAGCTGCTTGAGAGGTGCACTTAGGGGAGGAAATGGTACTCCCGGATATAGATGTGGTCATCCTTAGGACAAACTAGGAACTGGCTTTCATCCAGAATGTTTTCTCTGTTTGCCTTGAGAACTATATGTATAGGGGTCACAAATGCTTTCTGGAAGGGGGCTCTTTAAAAACAATTAAACTGAAAGTCCCTAGATGCTGCCGGCTGAGCAGCTTCTCTCCTCTGCCTGCCAGAGAATACAAGCCCTGCCTGACTTCCTGTGAAGCTAGTCAGGGCAGAACATCTTTTCTCTGGATCCTCTTCTCAGCAGCAGCCATAGCAGTAAATCTTCAGAGAGGCCTCATTAGGCAAGTTCCTTTTTGAACTCCCTCCACCCTCCAGACCTCTCGAAACCACCACCGCCATTCTAGCATGTTATTATTTTTTCCTCCTAAGCTTGCATTTTCCTCTGTCCTGGCACCTAGGCCTCCCTACACTGCTCTTGCTTTCCTTAACGGACTCTTCTCTAGCTGGAATCCCTCCAAAGGGTGTGTTCGTGCATTCAAAAACTTCCCTTTTTGTTTTATCACATCACTGAACATACCAGATAAGGCCCAGCTAAGGGAGGGAGGAAGAGAGGGAGGGGTCTGGGCTGGGTGGGCTGGTGGGGAGTAGGGGGGTATGTGAAGGAGACAGGAGGAAGGCAGAAGAAATCTTTGCATCAGCTCTTAGGACCACATAGAGACAGCAAGCACAGACACATGGGTATCTGGTGTGGCCTTTCCCTATCCGACCCCTGCCACTTACCAGGGAACTGCACATTCTTATTCAGACATGTAGCACAGACTGTCCGCAGCTTGCAAAGAGCATATAGAACAAACCAGGCACACAAGCTACAGTGAGACATGGACACCAGGGCATTAAATAGTTAATTTTTAGCAAACCCAAATTGCATTTCCATCATGTGCAAGCAGTCAGCTGCTATTGTAGGTCACCAAGATACAACGCATTATTTCTACAGTTTGTGGAAAACATTAGGCAGCTGTAATAAAGTCAATGGTATTTCCTTCCTTACTGAAACATGACTTCAGTAAATCCCCGTTTAAATTTTTTTTCCCTTTCTAAACATTTCTCTCCATCTGCACTATAAGTCAATAAAAGAAATTAAAAGTTAAAATGCCTAATGAAATTTTATCAGGCATGAAATGGCATTTAAACCAGAGTTGCCACCCGGGCTTAGATGCATGAAAACTGACCCGAACTTGAGGAGTTATAAAAAGCAGGGGGAGGGTAACAGCAAGTTTCAGTGGCCTTTATGTATTGCAGCCACTGAAAAAAAAAAAAAAAAAAAATCATTCCAAAGAGGCATTCCATGAAACTGAGACTCTCTGAGCAGTTAAGATTTTTACAGGAGGTACATCAATTCTGAAAACCTTCACATTCTTTGAGGCCGCCATTCTTCTTTCCTTTTATTCACTTCTTTGCACTGACATGCTTATTTTGAAATCAGTCTTCATCTGCGTACCTCTGTCATGATCCCAGGCAAAGTGGCAGGAAGAAAGCCTGAGAACATTTTTAAGAAGAAGAAACGATGGGAAGGGTAGGGAACTTAATTCTTCATCTTTCTTAGAGAATAGCATTGGGGTGTTCCACAGAGGTACAGAAAGAGTTTTAAATAAGCTGACATAAAGAAAAAAAAATCATTCTTCCTTGTATAAAATTATTTATTTTAACACTGCCCCATCTTTGGGTAATAGACATCTTATTTCATAGGAGCCCAAAAAGAAAAGGAGCTATTCAATGGGTCTGTGGCTAGTTCCCAGCTTTAACAATTTAACAGATTAAATTCCTTTAAAAGCAAATCCCAGAGTCTTCCCTCATGCAGGACATCCACTGAAGTCAAGGGGTATTGTGTCTAAGCAGGGGGACAGCAGAGTCAGACTCTTTAATTGCAGAGCATATTCAGAACTTTCCAGAAACATCCTATAGTTTGTAACCAGAGGTCTGTATTTGTAAGTGGTTGGCCTTACCGATGATAGCCTTGGTGAGAAGAAAGCTGTTGTCCAGCCTGCTGAGCAGGGAGAGAGACTCTGTTCATTTCTAGTGGCTCTGAAAATTAGCATGGGATAGTGGTTTTCCCACAGTGTGTTCCATTCAGCTGCACTTGAAAAGCCAGCGGTAGGAGTGCTGGGCCCAAGCAATGTGGAAGCAAGTCCTTTCCTCCATCCAGAAACTGGCCCTCAGGCAGGTAGGAAAGTGTTTCTACTGCCAGCAACTTCACAGCATTGCGATCATGAACGGATCTTACCAGCGCCTGCACACCCAACCTGACAGAATTAAAATTCCCTTAATTCAGGCAAGGTGATACATTTTCAAATATCTGTACAGCTGTCAGTGCCCACCCTCTCCCCACCCCCCAGCTTTTTAAAATCATGAAAGAAAGCTGTATTTGCAAGTCAGAAAAGAACATGTTCGCTTTTATTTTTTATAATTGACTCTAACTTTTCAAACTTTTGTCTTCCCAGTTTAACCCCAGAAATCTTGTAGTATTGAAGATTCTATAACACTCAAACACACAAATGTTTCCAACAATGCACTTGATAATGTGTGTAAGGACATTTGACTAGAGTGAAAAATACTTGCAAATTTGTGCAACAGGTACACATAGCTCCAAGCATGAGAAGCACTTGAGATTTACAGATAGGCATGTTTAACAACTCATCAAACAAATGCCACGCAAGGCTGACTTTTGCCCACCTGCACCAGACCAGATGTGTGCAGAATGCCTGAGTGGTTGTCGTCTGCTGCATTGTTGAAGGAGGGATTCATGGCTTTCCCTGAAGTATTTGAGGTGGATAGACCAGCTTGACATAGGGGAATTTGAACTAGGGAAATGGTTTTTGGACAAACACATCATGCAAACTATGAGGCAACACATAGAATTAGAAACAAAACCAACTTGGATAAGCAGAGGAAACAAAGGATAACGTTTAGATGTGTGCGGGGTAGAAAAGACCTCTGCTCACCCATTTCCATCATCATCCACAGGTAGACTTCCCATTAGTAATCTGGCCAAAGGCAGTTCTTGTGGGCCAGAGGCTTATATAATACTGGGCCTTCTTTAAGACAAAAATCTTTTAAAATAGCAACTAATAGTTTAAGCTCCATTAGCTCCTTGACCACCATTGGTAACAATAGCTTTCCCTACAAAATGAATGCTGCATGAATACAATTTGGGTCCATTGTACAGACTAAAAGAAGGGCTATGTCTCTGCAGTGAGCCAGTCTGTTACAGATCTACAAAGATTCATGTGTGCTACAAAGATTCATGATATTTCCATATCATAAGGTAAACTATTCATCTTGTTTGTGGGTGGGTACTTGACAGGGTGGGTACTTAATCTTGAATTTGAGCTCCAGCAGATAAAACCTCAGGATTATCTTGATTAGAAGGACATGCGGCCTTAGGCTACTGACTGCTAGACCAGACTCCCTGAGTTCACAAAGAGATCTTCAGAGGTTTTGCTCTGGAGTCTTTCATGAGATTCTGCCTTCTCTTGTGTTCTCCCTAACTGTAATCTTGACATCAGGGGTTAAAGTATGATCTAAGGGTTCACTTGCTGCTGATATGACTTGTCAATGTAGGTAAAGTAAGTCCACTCCAAATTAAAGTCAGCTTCAAGCAATTTGGAGATCTAATTTAGTCTTAAGTATTTTAAGTATCAGTGTACACTAGAATCACTTAAAAGAGGATGGGAATGCAAAGCTAATCTAATAGGCATTAAAAAGAGAAATATGACAGATACCATTAGAAATAACTGGTCCTTCATGGAGGAAGACTCCAAACGTCATTTAAAAAGAATTTAAAAAGTTAATAAAAACAATTTTTAAGCAAGACTGTCAAATATCTATTTCACAGACAGTCCAATTTTGTTAGTCCTATTTTTTTTTTTTAATTTATCTCAGACGAAATATGTGGAATGTTGGGTCCAGTGACCCTTTCTCCAATCTCAGATCAACTGTGTTTTGCTGGTTGGTTCTAGTAGGGTAATATAGTTAATTGCTTCTAAACTATTACATTCTGCTTTATTTTCTTGACTCTCAATAGCATTAGCAGCTAACGAATGCACTCCCCTTCAGTCTACTAGTAGTAAGAAAGCCTTGATGTTGCAACTGCCTTTTGATATCAATATTCTAGATAGCATTTTGTTAACTAGAAAGTGGCCAATATTTTAATTTTTGAGGAAGATTAGACTAAAGTTGCCCCTAGAGAGGAGTTTAAGCTGGGTGAGTGCGCGTGGAAAAGCTAAAACCTTTCTACACAAAGCTGGTTGCCTGGAAGTTTAGCCCCAAAAACTGGTATGGCCGGTAGTCATAACAATGCTATCAGTGTCAGTATTTCTCTTCCAAAAGAAATTGAGGCATCATACCAGGGTGGACACAACACATTTTCCACACTGTAGCAGGAATTAGAAAATGTTGAAGTTGCTGTAGCTATCTCTTATCCATAAATGCAAAGTCTACATACTTTTTCATTTATTCAACACATATTTTTTGAGGTCTTAGTTTATACCAGACATGGTAAGCTCTTGAGGATCTTAAAATACATATTATATGTACATATCCATGTATTTAGTTCTCACGTATTTAGCACATAGACAACACACCACATCTCTTCCCCCATACATATATACACACAATTTGTTATTTATAGCACTTTTAACTATATATTACAAAGCCAAGAATCACTGAGTCACTGAGGAGACAAAACATGACATAAAGTTTAATGAAAAAAACATCATGAATTCATAGGAGAAGCCTTTGGGCCCTACACAGAACTCACATCCTATTACTTTTCTCCTAATCCCAGCATGCTCAATTATCTCATTCTCTAATATAGCGGGTCAGTAATCTCATCATCTCAATGCAAAAGGGCATGCTGATAGGAGGAGAGAGAAGCTATTAAGTGAACACAGAAAGTAAAAAGTACAATAATTTAGGACCATTTCATGAGAGAGGCAAACAACACTATATCCTTAATAGTCCCTGAGTTACCAGATAAGATTAAATTTGTTCAGCATATTCCATTATGAAGACAAGGAAGTGTACAATTCACTTTAGAAAAAAAAATGTTTAGTTTTAAACTGGTACTTGGTTCTATTTCTTCAAAAATATTGCTAAACAAATGAGCTGCTAGTATGAAAAGATAACTGTCACTCACTATTACACTCATGTTAATCAAATCCCTCACTAGTTTGGAGAAATTCAGATAGGAAAATGGTTATAGAATGGTAAGTGTGGTATAATACACACTTCTTCACTGTGAAAATACTCTAGCAAATGAAATGTTCCTGTCTGAAACCCTTTTGGTGATAGAGGGAGGGTTCCTGTATTCAAAAGACAAGGCTAGGGCTGTGTGTTCAGCATGAATCCTCTGGATTTGTGACATAATAGTTTGCATAACTAATGTTTTTGATTGCTCACTTCCATGGACTGAATTGGTGAAACTGATTCTACTTTCTCTGGAATTCCCAAGACTTAAAAGTGAGCTCTTTGCTATTTTAAATGCGACCTGCATTTAAACAACCTGGTTTCAAAGCCTCTGAAGTGAGGGGTGGGGCTTCCAAGCATCAGGAAACCATGGGGGGACAAGATACCTTGACAGTCTGAAAAGTACAGCTGTTCAGGAGGGCGGCCCACTTGCCTCCCATGGTGCTGGAGACCTAGACGTGAAGGGATCATTTAAGGGGTTCATTTCCAAGAGAACATGAAAGTAGTAACTTATAATGAACACTTGGTATACTTAAAGCTTTAGTGGCAAATGATGTAAAATTTTACAAGCAGCAAAGAGAAGCTTCCAAGATATGTACAACTGCTCAGAGTACTTATGTGAGAAAAAAATATCCCCTCCCAGTATTTCCAAATTTTATCACTCTATAAAGAGGGTAATGAAAGTTGGAGGTCGTCCACCATCTGATTTCAAAACTTAGTATAAAAGTACAATAATTAAGGTTATGTGGTATTTACATAATTATAAACATAGAAGAGACTCAAAAATAGATCCACACATATATAGCTGATTAATTTTTTATAAACATGCCAAGGTTATATCAGTAAATGATACTGGAAAAATGGATGTCCATATGCAAAATTTATGAACCTTGGTCTTTGCCACCACATACAAAAATTAACTCAAAGTGGTCTGTAATATTAAACATAAGTGCTAAAACTATAAAACTTCTAGAAAAAAAGAATAGGAGAAAATCTTCATTACCTTGGGTTAGGCAAAGAATTTTTAGGACATAGGAATCATGAACCATAAAAGAAAAATTTGTTAAGTTGGACTTTTAAATTAAAAATACCTGTTCTTTGAAAGGTGATGTTAAGAAAATTAAAAAGCAAAACACAAGTCCGGCTGGTGTGGCTCCAGTGGTTGAGCGTCGACCCATGCACCAAGAGGTCAACAGTTCATTTCCCAGTTAGGGCACATGCCCAGGTTGTGGGCCAAATCTCCAGTGGGAGGCATGCAGGAGGCAGCCAGTCTATTTTCTCTCTCACCGATGTTTCTCTCTCTCTCTCTCTCTTTCTCTCCCAAATTAGTAAAGAAAACAAAAATAAAAGCAAAACACAGACTGGGAAAAATAGTTTTAAACTACGTACCTGATAAAGGACTTGCATCTAGGATATACAAAAGAACTCTCCAAACTCATAAGAAAGCAAATCATCTATTAGAAAAAAGATTTGAATAGACAAGTCATTAATAATATACATATGGCAAATAAGCACACAAAAAGATGCTGAAAATCATTAGCTATTGGAGAAATACAGATTGAAACCAAGATATAATACTGTTACCCATCAGAGTGGCTAAAATTTTTAAATAGCAAGTGTTGAGGTTGTGGAGTACCTGAAATTCTCATACATTGTTGGTGGAAATGTAAAATGTCACAACCACATTTGAAAGAGCTTAGCACTTAAACTTTAAATTTAAACATACACTTAGCATACAATGTACTGGTTTCACTTCTAGGAATTTACCCAAGAAAAATCAAAAGGATACCTTCTCACAAAAACCTATATGCAAATGTTTATAACAACTTTATTCTTAGTCACCAAAACCTAGAAACAACCCACATGACCAATAGCTGGTGAATGAGTAAACATTGTACTACATCCATGCAATAGAATATTACTCAGTAACAAAGTACTGATATGCACAATGGTATAGGTGAATCTCAAGAGTCTTGTGCTGAGCAAAGGAAGCCAGGTTCAAAAGGCTTCTTACTACATGATTTTATTTCCTGAATGTAGCCTCTAAGTCAGGATCACAGTACAACATGGAGACATATTGCAGAATATAAGGTTATTGAGTATATTTTCTATTTGGTTAAATTCACAGTTCTTCCCCCTTTACCTGAATCTTCCCCTTATCAATGGAAGTGAAAGAGCTTCTCTTTTGTTAAAGTCAGTCAGATGTTAGACTCAGTCAAAAGCTTTCTACCATCAGTCAGTGCTGGAAAGACAGTTATTGGGAACACTTGACAAATTCAAAAAGCCTGTCCATGCTTTGAAATTGCTCTGAATTCTACCTTATTTATGTGTTCAACCCCAGTGAAAAAGCAGACTGCAGTCAATATGATTGGTAAGGGTTTTAAAGAAAGGAACTTGAGAATTTAAAGAAAAGATGGTAGCTGCTGCCAGATTGGATCTGGTGTGATAGTGATACTTCTCACTTCACCAAAATGAGTCAGCTGCCTGTTTATCATTAATGTGTTGTGCAATTTAACCCATTTCTACACCCAATCAGAATAGCAAAAAGAAAAGAGAATCCAAAAAAAGGAGGAAAGTGTAAGGAACCTCTGGGACAACTTCAAGCATACCAACATTCACATCATAGGGGTGCCAGAAGGAGAAGAGAGAGAACAATAAATTGAAAACCTGTTTGAAACAATAATAACAGAAAACTTCCCTAACTTGGTGAAGGAAACAGACATACAAGTCCAGGAAGCACAGAGAATCCCAAACAAGATGAACCCGAAAAGGACCACACCAAGGCACATCATCATCAAAATGCAAAAGGTTAAATACAAAAAGAGAATCTTAAAAGCAGCAAAAGAAAAGCAGTTTGTTACCTACAAAGGAACTCCCATAAGACTGTCAGCTGATTTCTCAAAAGAAACTTTGCAGGCCAGAAAGAAGCGGCAAGAGATATTCAAGGTGATGAAAAGCAATGACCTACAACCAAGACAACTCTATCCTGCAAAGCTATCATTTAGAATCGATGGACATTTCAAGAGTTTCCCAGATAAGAAAAAGCTAAAGGAGTTCATCACCACCAAACCAATATTATATGAAATGTTGAAGGGTCTTCTTGAAGGAGTAGAACAAAAATATGAACAATAAAATGGCAATTAATACATATCTATCAACAATTGAATCTACAAACAAAATGAGCAAGCAGAACAGAAACAGACTCATAGATACTGAGAACTTTTTGTTGCTTGCCAGATGGGTGGGGGTTACAGGGATGGGTGAAAAAGATGAAGGAACTAAATACTTAGGTTTTTTTCATAGTGGGATTAGAGAAAAAAGAAGGTTACCACTAAGAAGCAGCCATGTGTTGATGACAAGGATAATATAATTTGCTTCTTTAAATTATTTTAAGAATTAAATAAGATATGATATTAAAATATTTTACAATACTAGGCATTGAATATATATTCACCAAATTATGATTTTCTTTCACTTTCTTTATGAAAATGAGAATATTTTTAGAACTGGAAAAACCTCAAAGGTTATCTTGTCTAATGTTTTTTTTTTTTTTTTTTAATTTTTTTTTATCCTCACTTGAGGACATTTTTTCATTTTTTTGTTAGGATAGAGTAGAAGGGAAAGAGAGGAAGAGAGTGAGAAACATCGACGTGAAGGGACACATCGAGTGGCTGCCACCCGCACGACCAACCAGGGCCGGGGACAAACTGCAACCGAAGTACGTGCCCTTAGCGGGAACCGAACCCGGGTCTCTCTGGACCGCAGGCCGACGCTCTAACCGCTGAGCCAAACTGGCCAGGGCTTGTCTAATGTTTTAATTTTACAAATGAGAAAACTAGGTTCCATGAGGTTAAATGTATTGCTCAAGTTCACATAATAGGTTAGAAGTCCAACGTCCATTTCATACAAATCTTTTTCCAAAAGTACCTGCTTCAGCTGTGATGCCCCAAGTACCAGAGTGTGAGGGAGAACTGCAGGAGAGGAGAGTTTTGCTCTATGTATTTAGGGATCATGGACTGTTTTGCTTCTGGTTCTGTGTTTGCTTTGGCTGTTTTCATTTATTTTTTATTTCAGTGTTGGGAAGCAATAGGAAGCCTTTGTCTTCAGAGACTATGATTACCAGAGTTAGCATATAAAACACAAGGCACACAGTTAGATTTGGATTTCATGTCAACAGTGCATAATTTTTAGTTCCATTTGGAAATATTTGGAACATACTTATACTGGCAGCTTATCTGTCAACCCTATCAGGGACCAAACAATATGTGGTTTCCAACTATGGAGAATCCCCCCTGCCCCAAAGCAAATAAGCAATAGAAACAAGGTCATCCCCACCCCATGCATAAATCTTGGCTTCCTACCATCTCTTCTCCATGACCATTTTCTTCACCTGGGATCATGATGAACAGCCTCTATGGCTAAGGCTGAGTCTAATAAGGGTGGTGATAGAGCAAGGAAAAGATGATGACCTACCTAAGCAGCATTGGAGGGACATTCTTTGCCAAATAGGAAGTACACAACTCTATCTTAAGACAGATGGAAATTCAAATTCTTCTCTCTTACCAGCTGTGTGGCTGTAAGACTTTGAGCAAGTTACTTAAACTCCCCCACACCCACCTATCCACAGAGCCTGCTTTGTTTTTCATAAAATAAGGTTACCATGTCTAGCCGGCGTGGCTCAGTGGTTGAGCATCGACCTGTGCTCAGGAGGTCACCAGTTCGATTCCCGGTCAGGGCACATGCCCAGGTTGGAGGCCTGATCCCCAGTGGGTGGCATGCAGGAGGTGGCTGGTCAATGTTCTCTCTCATTGATGTTTTCTCTCTCTCTCTCTCCCTCCTCTCTCTCTCTCTAATATCAACAAAGAAAAAAATTTTAATAAAATAAGGTTACCTTAAGTTTTTATGAAGATCAAATATGATAATAGGAAGGAAGTACTGAGTACTGTGCCTAGAATATAAGATCTACTCTTATAAATGATCATTTCTTAAACTGTCTGTACATGTTTTATGTACTTTTCTATTTATTTTATATACTTCACTCTAAAATTGTTTACGCAGAATTGCTAGATTGGAGGCAGAATGGAGAGGGTTTTGAATGCCAGGATTTAGAGTTTGGATGCCAAGGGAACCATTGCTATCTGTACAACATTTGGGGTCTACAGTCAGGCAACCTCTTTCTAAGTTTTCTTAAAAACAACTTGAGAAATTTTGTAGCATATCATTTCTTGTATGTTCAAGCAGACATTAACCAACACTGGATGAACTAACCTGGTCCCTTACCTCCAACTTTGACAGAGAAGAAAATTACAAGTTATAACACTTCCTATCAATCTACTTTGTGGTGTATGAGAAATAGACAGGCATCAGACAAAACCAGAAATAATTCCTGCTCCATCACCTCTTCATGGAATGGCCTCATCCAAGTTAATCAATCCTTTCTATACAATAGGGATGATAGCACCTAAGCTGGTAGGGTCTTAGAATTTAGACTCCAACAGAGTACCTGGTTATAAGAGATGCTCAAAATCTGTATTTTTATTTTTTTCATTTTGTTAGAACACTACACTCAAGTTTCATGAATCATAGGTCCCTGCAGTGCTCTTTCTCACACTGATCAAGAAAGTTTGTGACTCAATTTCAGAAGACTGTCCAAAACTGAGAACCAGTCGCTCAGACCAACTTCGTTTAGAAAATATTTTTACCAAAATATTTTAGACAGTTGACACCTGAGTGAGTCAGATTCTTACTCAGCCTTCTCCTTGATGCTGTGTGGGCAGTCCTAAGGTTCACCAGTTCCCTCGCTCACCCTTTTAGAACCTGCAGTTGTGTGTTATCTGCTCCTTCTGTTTGGTCAACTTCAAGTGCTTCTAATCTTTTTATAACCAGTTCTGTTGGCTGTTATCTGGATTTCTTGTAGTGCCTTGTCTATTGTACAGTTTTAACAGATCCCCACCCTCTTCTTAGCAATAAGAAGGGCAATATAATCGTTTAACAATGTGCTACAGTCTTCTATCCGATAAGCTCCTTAATTGGACTGTTTCATCTTTTGCCAGTTGTGTGTGTGTGTGTGTGTGTGTGTGAAAAATATCACCTGAAGGTTTCCTTAAAGTTGGATTCTTACATAGTTTCCTAAGCTAAATACCAAATAAAGGTCCAAAGCACCCTTCTTCCTATAACATCTCCCAAGCTTGATGACTAGTGATGTTGTTTCCTACACTACAACCTGAAAAGATTAATCAAACCTATTATTTTAGTTTTGCAACTCTATTTTTGTTATTTTCTTATATAATCTTACCTGTGTGGCTCCTTATCTGTGTGGCTCCATAGTCATTGAAATCTTCAACTTCATAGTTATTCACAGGGTAACATGGGATACTGGAAAAAGTAATAATAGACTTCGAGTCAAGAGAGGTACATTTTCATCTAGGCTTTGCCACTGACTAGCTTGTGACCTTGCCAAGACAGTTAACTGCTTTGGGTTTCGTATTCCTTATCTATAAAATAGAGAGAACACATACTCCCCTTTGGGTCTGTGCTCTGTTAACCTTCACCTATGCTTTTTTTTTTTTTTCCTTTATTGATTTTAGAGAGAGAGGAAGGGAGAGGGAGAGAGAGATAGAAATATTGATGAGAGAGAACACTGACTGGTCACCTCCTGCATGCCCCCAACTGGGGATCGGGCCCACAACCTGGGCATGTGCCCTGACATGGAATCGAACTGGTGATCTCCTGGAGCACGGGTCGATGCTCAACCACTGAGCCACACCGGCCAGGCAACCTTCACCTCTGAAATGCCCATTCTTACATCGATGGACTTTCCCATTCATTTCCTACCACCCAGCAGAAAACTGCTTTTAGTTTATTTCAATTTTTTACTTTTCATTTTTGCCAAAAATTACTCATATGCTTTCTTACTAACTCCAAGGGGCTCAGCTTAAACCCAACATAAAGCATCTCAGTCCTTTCTGAATATTTGATATAGATCCACTAACCTAACTATAGTTAGATCCACTAATTATTCTCTGTAATTTAAAAATAATTACTCATAAAAATGTTCCTAAACAATAAAAATATAATTTACAATTTAAATATGGAATTGTACATTCATGATCTACTTATGAAATTGTGTACAATATTTTTTCTTAAAATAAAAAATGAAATGATGGAGGAGTGTTAGCTATAAACTGTTTACAGAATGAATGGCAGTAACCAGATGTATTATGTCCATGGTAAGGCAAAAAAAGAAATTCCAAATGAGAATTTGGAGATCCTCTCAGTCTTTCTTGAGATCTATAGGGTTCTTCTCTCTTCTGAGCTCAAGTCTCTCCCTGGCTGCCATTTCGAGTAGAGCTGATTAGAGTATAGCAATAGCACTTAGGGTTCCAGGAAACTCCTCTAGGGTCTGAGCAAGAGCCTTAAGATAGGAGGTACCTACAACTTGGGTCCAAATCCTTACATTATCAGATACCTCCAGCCAGGGTGAGGACCAGCTAACCACAGTGACACGCAAAAAGAAGCCCACAAATTTTACTGACCTCAAGCTACACCCAGCTCTGGAATAACAGCCTCCTGCCCCCACCCTACAGTGCCATCAGTGGAAACAAAAAGGAAGAGGCATTTTAACTTTGAAGGTGAACCTATGTTAAAACTGAAAAGAGGCTAAATGTGTCTGTACTTGGTGGTGTTTCCCTTTGAATGTAAGTGTATGTCACAAGTTAAACCTATAAGCTCAGGGAGGGGTGCTACAGAACCTCCTTGTTGCTCTTTTACTCCCTTTCTCAACCCTTCTTCCTTGGCTTGCTTCATGCTTCCCCATCTCACTGGACCACCTATAGTGTTTGAGTAGTCAGCCTGTCTTCAGCCTCACCCTGCCTGCAGGGTGGGTCAAAATATTTTTCCTAAAACTCTAATCCAACTGGGATTTTCCCTATAGAAAATCTTTTACTAATTCCTGATCATCCTCTGGATATAGTCAAAGGTCTTCACTATTGTCTACCTAATGTCCTCCATGATCTTGACCCTTCCTACTTACCTTGCCTCACTCTGCACACTTCTCCTCCCTCTGCACTGTAAACTTTAGCAGTACTGAACTTCTCCCATATCTCTGAACATAAAGTACTACTTCAGACCTCTGGAATGTGCTCCTCTCAGATCCTCGCCCTGTTGTCCTCTTGATTAATTCATGTCCTCAACTCTTCTGATGGATAGGTGATAGATAAAACTCTATGCAACCTTCAAAACCCAACTCATAAAATGTTAACAGGAAAAATAGTATTTTGTTGTCATTTATAGTTACAAAAATTTTTATTACTGATAACATTCAAGTTTTTCCATGTTCATCAGCCACATATATTTCTTTTTGAATAATTTAATGCTTTTATCTCTTTTTCTACTTTTATAGTATTTTAATCATAATGCATAAGGATATTTCTCTGTAAAGAAGACCCATTTGTCAGTCATATATAAGAGCAAAACATTTTCTCCCAACTTACTGTCTTTTATTATCCTATTTTAGTGAATAGGTTTACTTAATTGTGAAGAATTTACCTGTAGTTAAATTTTACTAAAGTTCTATTCTTGATGTTGGCTGCTTTGAATTCTTGATTGAAACAGTTATTAAGAATTATTTTCTAGCCCTGGCCGGTTTGGCTCAGCGGTTAGAGCGTCAGGCTGCAGTCCCAAGAGACCCGGGTTCGGTTCCCGCTAAGGGCACGTACCTCAGTTGCAGTTTGTCCCTGGCCCTGGTTGGGTTGTGTGGGTGGCAACTACTAAATGTGTCCCTTTCACGTCGATGTTTCTCTCTCTCTCTCTCTCCCTCCCACTCTATCTGAACAAAATATCAAAAAATGTCCTCAGGTAAAGATAAAAAAAAAAAATTATTTTCTAATTTTTAATAAATTTGTATACTGCACTTAACAAGAACAATAGCAAAGCCCAATTTATAAGCCACAGCCCCCAATATAGAGTAGGTGTTCAGTAAAACATTGCTGAGTAGAATAGTGCATAGAAAGCCAGAATCCAAGTGATAAAGTTACAATCCTTCTATTTTTCTTAAAGCGCCATCTTCCTTCAGACTTTAATGGATTGAGAGGTATCAGATACAAAATACCAAAAAGGCATCTAAGCATATACCATGTTATCTCCAGCTCCTAGTCTCTCTCAGAAGAAGCCTGTTCTATCTTCAGGTGATCTGAGAAAACAACCAAACCCTAAGTCTTCTCCATACCAGAAGAATACACTAAAGGACTATTTCAAACCTTGTCTGGGTGAATCAGTCAAATTATATGGACACTTTACTTGCTCTTTTGATTGCACTAGGTCCAGAACTCCTAAAGCCATCACCTACTAACACGTATCTCCAGACCTTCTGTAATAGTAATGGCCTCTTGAGTATGGTTAAGTTTTGGCTAACTTGGCCAGAAATTTGAGATCTATTTTTATCCCAATCACTATCAGGACCTTAGTCCTGCATTAGGTCATGACCAGTGTCCAGACCAGGGTGGAAAGGAGGTTCATTACTGGCCTCTGGTCTGAGGTTTTCTCATAGTTTCCTGAATCATAGTTTCCCAATACCTTTCATATAATGTGAGAAATTAGCTTCTTTAGGGAAATTTAAGACAAGATATTCATGAACCATACCAAACAATATGGAGGACATTTTAGATTACATTTTATCCTCACCCGAGGACATTTTTCTTGCATTTATCTTCAGATAGAGTGGGACGGAGAGAGGGAGGAAGAGAGAGAGAGAAACATCGAGGGGCTGCCACCCCACAGCCCCAACCAGGGCCGGGGACAAACTGCAACTGAGCTACATGCCCTTAGCAGGAACCAAACCCGGGACTCTCTGGTTCGCGGACTAACGCTCTAACCACTGAGCCAAACCAGCCAGGGCTAGATTACATTTTAAAGAGAACACAAAGACAGACTAGACTAGTCATGCAATCCCCAGTTATATGTTGAGTGCGTCCCTGGGCTAAAAACCAGAGACAGAGTTGATCTGGAGATACATAAAAATTAAATTAAATAGCCAAAAATTTTAAAGTGTAATAGCTTAAGAATCAACTCAAAAGGACATAACATAAAAGTCACCCTTTTATAAGCAATCCCTTTGAAAGCATTCTACAGAAACATAATAATGCCACACTGTTTGGTTCTAATCCAAATTCTTATCTCTGGCCCCAGCCTCTCCGCTGATCTTCAGACTCCCTGAAGAGTTCATTCTGTCCTCCACCAAATGCTACCATCTTTATTTGGAAGTTTAATAGGCTTCTCAAACTTAACACATCCAAAAAGAAACCCCAAATCTGCCTCCTAAAACCTGCTCCTTTAGCAAGTTCCCTCCTTCAGTTAATGGCTACTAATGCTTTGGCTGTTCCAAAGCTAAAACCTAATACTCTCAGCTCCTTCCTCTCTTTCTCTCAAACATTCACTCCATAATCAAATCCTGCTGCCTGTACATTTAAAAATATATCTTTCAGGTGGGATCAGGAGGAGGGTCTTTAGGGGAGAAAAAGGAGAAACATCTGTAACAAAAATCAATTAATTAAAATTGGAAAAAAATTATATATATATAATTTCTAACCCTACCATTATCTTTCTGGTCCAAGTTATATCAACTCTACTAGACTACTGCAGTCTTCTCCTAACTGATCTTACTGCTTCTGTCCTTGCCTCCTACAATCTATCCTTAACCCAGTAATTAAGGTGATTTCTTTAAAACAGAAGCCAGGTTATATCACTCCTCTATTCCACACCCTCCAGTGGCTTCCCATATCAATCAAGGTAATAGCCAATGTTTTTGCCACCACCTGCCATGACCCCCCACTACCTCTCTAACCTATGTTGCTCCCATTTTTTGCTTTGTGAAGAACCATTAAGATCTTGATACTTTACTACTTACTAAAATATAAAGTTAACCTTTCAACTAAGACTAACTATATAACACAGTTGCATGTCAGAACAAGCAGTACATGTCAACTACAAGTAGTACTCCTGGCATAGGAGGATAGATGAAATTGTAGCTTGTGTTATGCAACAGTGTTGAGGAGTTCACTCTCATGCACATTCTTCCAAAGCAAACCTTACAGTGAAGGTTGTAGTCCTGATACATTAACTTTAAAAATAAAAAAGAAGCACAGTATTGAAAAGATTTACATTTGCAACTCATTGTAAATCCTATCCTATAACAATTCCATCTGTAAGACAACTTTATGTGTTCTTTTGTTGCTATTGTTGTTAAGAGAAGGGGAGGAAGGAAAAAAACTATAAAAAACATGTTTCCTTTTATGCCTTAACTTCCAAGAAAATTGAAGGCAAATCCATTGCCCAGATGAAGTAAGCAACTGATCCCAGGTTTCTGATAATATTCTTTCCCTTTAAATTCTATCAGATGGCCTAGGTTCTGTTTTCAATGCTAACT